ATTTCTAATTATGTCGGTTTTCGCGTAGAGTTCCACCTATTGGTGTTTTTACATATATTGTAAAAGATAATGCTCCTTCTGAATCTTGATCAATCGCTCCAAACATGTTTGAAAACACTAAGAGAAACAAGAAGCCATGGGAAAAAGTTACTAAATGCCAATGTCTCTTTTAGTATTTTCTCTTTCTTTGTAAAAATATTGTTATTGTTGTAACATAAAAGTATTTTTCAGAAAAATATGGAATAGCATATAATGCATTCCAAGTATTCTGATAATTTTCATATTTTGTGAGATTTTTTGATTAATATAAACTTGATGCGAGAATTAATGACAAGATTTAAGTTCAATATTGCAGATATGACTTATGTTTATGAGAAATTTTCAAATATTTTCAGATATTCCTGAGAATTAAAAAAATAAACTTCTCATTTATATGTCTTATCAAATAAAAAATGTATAAAATATTTATGTTACATATTAAAATTAAAAAATGTAATAATCTGAGAATGAGAATAGAGTACTTATGTATATGTATAAGGGTTATACATTTTGATATTAATTCCATACTCTTTCCACGTCATTCATACAAACAGATGAAGAAAACGAAAATAACGAATAACATCAGTCAGAAAGCTAGGCGGGCAATATCCTCGAACCTTTCCGTGCCATTGGCCGTGACCACGCAATAAATCGAGTCTAATGATTAATTAAATATAATGACTGCAGTGGTCATGACTGATGAGTCTGCTGAGACAATATCTGTCTTATGTTGGCGAGCCTCAAACCGAATGTGGACACAGATGCATGGCTGCGCTTGCAACATTGTGATCAGATGAAATCATATGCTAGATATCGATTGCAAATTTCAAAGAAATACTTTGTCCATATTATTGTGTATTGTTAAATATGAAATGAAATATTGTAAATGTGAAAAATAATAAGGAAGCCGGAATAAACTTATAATCACATTTATATAACATGAAGATGATTTGTAAACATAATTTAATCTTTAATAAAATATATGTAGAAGGTATGAAAAAATACGGAATAAGAATATGTGCGTATACCCGCACACAAAATTGTATAAATTCTTACATAGAAATTTTTTTTATTCTACTTCGATAAAGAATTCAAAATATTTAATTCTCTAATTGCTTGGATTTATTTAATTAAAATTTCAACTTCAACAAATATCGATAAATGCTAATTAAACTGTTATAACTTTTTATCCGTGCAAAATATTTTATAATAATATATTACACAATAAAATATTTTGTTCAGTTCTAATGTTAAATAAAACTTGAAAAGAAATTTGGGGAAAATATCTGAGGAAGCAAATAATTTGTTTGTGTCTCCTATTTAAAATCGCGTTTTTAAAACATTGCATTTCTGATTTGAATTCTTATAAATTTCCTAACCAGAATCCACATAATTCTTTTAAGAAATCTGATTATATTCCAATTAGATCCCAGAAATTTTTCACATTATATTAAAAATCCTTCAAATTATTATAATTATAATTATTATGATATATGTGAGAAAAAAATGTATATCTTTGATGCGGCCAACGCGAGTTCATAAACTCGCTCACGCGTTATATGCATAGATTTGTCTTCGCTCGATGTCTCGCGCTGTTAGTAAAGCAACAGAAGGTGGATGGAAAGCATCATTCAGTCCATGCCTCCTAAGTACACGAAAGAGCCACGCGAGTCCACCTTTATGGTAGTTATTAATATCAAATAGTCAGCCACCGTGCCCATTACGGACATAATGGGACTTCATTTTTTGCCATGACAATGAGGCACCCCGTTAAAGCACTCGATGTATTTGCATTATTTATGCGGGTGATTAAGCTCTGCTAATATATTCAACGACATAGTGTAGAACGGAACAGAATTAAACAAAGGCCGCTATAAATAGCATGTTTATAGCATGTAGATATCGAAAATATGAAAATCTGTGAAAGATTAGATCCGCATATTTGCCTTATATAAAACAATATTGAACTACTATTGAACTTCAAATTGTTCAAAGAAAGAGCATAAATAATCTTGACTTTTGTATATCAAAATTAACATTGATTACATTTAATTAAAATGTTAAATTACTGAAGAGAAGATATATCGTATACTTTTCTCCTATTAGGTTAGGTTGTTTTCCAAAACGCTTTATAGAATACAACCATCTATTTCTTTAGATGGAAAGCAAAAGAAATTTCGGTTTTCTATAAATGTTATTAATCAGTCAATATTATGTTAAATATAAAAATTATTCAAATAAAATTATTATAACTTTTATGAAAGATTTAAACGTCAATTGAATAAAACTGATATTTATTTTGTAATCATTAAAAATTTTAATACAATTTATTCGAGACGTTATGTAGAAATAATAGGAAGAAAGAAAGACAAAATTTAATAAAATTTTGAAAAACAATATAGAGAAATATTTAATGGATAAAACAATAATTATCTATGTAGTATATCTTTGTATATAGAAAAAATCTTACATAAAAATTACATGATAACTATCACATTTTTATTTTAAAATTGTAGTTTAACATTTTACGGTAAAAGAAACGACACATTATAACTTATGATAATAAAAAGTGTTAACTTCTTTGACCATCAATTGAAAATATGATACAAATAGTAAATGTTACAATGTACAATATAAAAAAAACCGCTCTTAGTAAAGCAAAATTATCTATTTTTCAAATTTGTCATGATAAATCCGCTACTTTGTAACTTTATAACAGATTTATTATCAGCGATTTTCTAAAAATATATAGATTATTATTAAGTTTATTGTAGACTAGTGTATGTATAAAACAAAAAACAAAAAAAAAACAAAAAAAACTAGTTGAGGACCAACATTATTGAAGATTCGTCACAATAAGATTTTGAAGAAAGAATAGAATTTTTTAAATTCAACCAACGTCAAACCCGCAAATAATCCATTTTAACAAAAATAAATAATAGACAATCTGCAATTTCTATATTGTATTATTTTGCACATTTTGTACAAATAATGTAACAGAGAAAAAGAGCGAAAAAAAATGCAAGAGGACATTAACAAATTTTTTTCTTTCAAGAATAATACAATACACGCATTGTTTAAATCTACTTACGGCAAATTTACCTCCTACCATTGACGTGCGATATTAAATCCGAGATTTATTGAAAAAGATTTAGACCCTTTTTCAAAGAAAAAGTAATTTTAAAAAAGTAATTTGTCTCGACCGAACAATACTCTTAGGTATCCCGGTAGAATGCGCTAATGCGTTTTTGCAGACTTTTGGTAGAATTCGACTATACAAAATAAGCATGGTCCATGCTATTTCCTGACATTTCCTCAAAAGCTAACAAACTAGTTTACCTGCTTATGACTAAAAAAGAAACGCAAAATTTGAAGATTAATTTTGCATGACAAGATGATAAAAGAGAACAAGAAAAGAGAAAAAGTTAATAGTTTAACGAATAGTTTAACATTTAGTTAATTTTATATTCATTTTGTTACATGAAAAATTGAAAAAATTAAAAATTAAAAATTTTGCCAAAATTTTTCATGTATATACATTTCGTTTTTTATTTAAAAACTAATATATTGATATATCTTCATATTTAAAAAATAAATCATTGCTCTTGCATTAACAATACTGTATAACGTTATTTTTTTTACTTGCAAATTAAAAAAAATATAAATGTACAATTTTATAGGATTCAATAGTAGATCTAATAGCTAATGTTTGCAAATGTTTTAACATTCGCTGTTCCATTTGCTTTGATACAGGAATTTATATTCAGTAAATTCAAAAATTTCCTTATATCCGCAAATCTTTAAAGGCTCGTAATCTTTAATGATGTAACATCATTTTTCGTTTTTCAGCAGTATGACAAGTATTCTATTATGAGAATTTTATTAGCTTTTATTTTTATATATTATAATTATTTTTGAAATACTATACGTGCTAATTATAAATTCTAACAATATTAAACTTAATCATGAAAGAGAACATTCTCAAAACATCATCTGCCGCATGTTAAATTTCATAAGATATAATCTTTCTTTGCAATTTTAATTGCAAATTCCACAAAATTGCAACGTAATACAATTCTAAAAATAGAATTTTAAAAATCGAATTTGTATTTAACATAAAAAAACTACAATGTAAGAGTGATTATTCTTTTTCTTATTGAATTATGTTTTCTCTCTATTCTATCGTTGTCATATTAATCATATTTATCATATTTATCATATGTTTGTTATAATTTTAACAATATAAAAATAGGTTCTCATACTTAGAAAATTATTATAAAACAAAAATCCGAAAATTCTTTAAATTTGATATTCAATGTAATTTCATTTTGAAATTAATTTCGATATGAAATTTATGTTTAGCAACGGCGGTGTCGGTCTTCGAACTTTATGATTATGTTAATTACCGCGTATCTATCACTAGCTATTGCACGATCAAAAACTAAACTTAACGATTACAAAATAAAAAACAAACTTGAAAACTGGCGCGTAAAATATCTGTTGTTACATTCCAAACGAGATGTTTATGAATCAAGAGACGGGGAAACACTTCTTCGTCGTGTATAAAATCGCGAAATCTTATCATTTGCACCTTCCCCCGAATATTGGGCGTGAACCAAGAGCGGAACATGCGCCTTAGCGAGCATGATGCCTACTTGCTTGTGATAGGTTGACGAGCGTCTCTCTATCTGATGATCACCAAGGCTGTCGGCGCCAATGGGACGTTGGTACCGGTGGGGAAGCGATCAACAGTGGGTACAGATCCGGTTCAGGAAATGGCGATTTGGAAGGGATGTAAGGCGGCGTTAATCACGGTGGGGTGGAGAAGCACCAGGTTGGTCGAGCCTCAGTAAGAGACAAAAAAGGGATCACAACGCCCAATCGGAGAGGAAGAAGGGGATGCTTCGACCGCGTTACCTCGGCAGGAGTTCTAAGTTTTCAGTCCCGCTGCGAACGCAGCAAGTAGCACACAACGGGTGTTTTACCATCTCTGAACGAGGCGCCCGGGACGTCCGGGGAAGCGTGTGTGTAACGCATGTTATGTGCACAGTTGTAAAGTGCTCGAGTGCCTCTAAGCATGATCGATCGGAGATACCGTATTCGCTGTCAAAACTCGTCCGAAATGTATTCGCGCGCAGTCGCGCGATAACGAGTAGTTAACGAGTCCAAGCGGGGGATCACTGATATCATTGTTGTTGCACGTGTAAAATTGTGCGTCAGTCGCAATGGAACGCAATGGTGTATTAATATGGAATTGCTAGACGCTAGGTGTTTCCACGAAAGCTTAGAACGAGAAAAATTAACAGTGAATCTGGAATGAAGTGCGTCTGCGAGGTATATACGCGCCTAACGAATCGATATTTTAATGTTCATAATTGTATACTATCGTCAAAATATTTGACTCATTGCTCTAGAAACAAGGATATATTTCCTGATGCATCTAATCCGACGCGACATGTCCCGCGTCGTTTTCTTTTGGTGCTAATTTCTAAAATTCATCAACGTTGAAAGTATAACATAATGAATTACATAGACGGCGTGTCGCCAGTTGCCCAGTTGCATCATATCACAAATCTGGGTATCAAGCTGTCACCCGGGGGTGGAGGACCGACCGGTGGCTCAACCGATATCGTTGCCAGTGTTCAACCGCCCCCGGGAGTCGAGGCGCCGTCTCACCACTTCCATCATCAGGGTTACCCACCGCATCATCCTCACACGGCCACCCACATGGGCCCTCCGCACATGGGGCATCACATGGGCCATCATTCGAGTTTCGCGGCGCGTGACTTCCTTATGCGACGGGAACACGAGTTTAATGCGACGGCAAGTCCTACCACCCCCGAGAGTGGATTGAGCCTCTTCACATCGCTGCATCACGATGGTGCCGCGACGATGCAGCAATTCCCGCATCATCCCGGCCAACATTCACTGGCCGCCAGTCACTATCCCGGGGCACCCTATTCCCAGGATACCAGGTTACCACCTCATCATCATCAGTATCTCGCTTCGCCGCATTTGCCGCCATCTTCGATTCAACATCCGCAACATCCGGCGATGCCTCATCCGGGTCATCATTTCATGAGGTACATGAGGAACAGCGACGGACCTGTTGGCGGCCCTCCAATCGGCGGCGGTCAACATCAGGAATATTCGTGCATGTGGCTAGATCCGGACACTTCGGGCAGAAAGCTCTGTGGCAAGCTCTTCAACAGTCTCTCCGATATTGTGACGCATTTGCAGGTGGAACACGTGGGCGGAGCCGAAAGCACAACGCACGCGTGCTTCTGGCAGGGTTGTTCGCGCAACGGCAAAGCCTTCAAGGCCAAGTACAAACTCGTCAATCATATAAGGGTGCACACAGGAGAAAAACCCTTTCCGTGTGTACATCCGGGCTGCGGCAAGGTTTTTGCCAGATCAGAAAATCTCAAGATACATAAGAGGACGCACACCGGTGAGTACTATTTTTGTACCGTTTATTCAAAAGCGCTTTTTGCTTCTTCGATAAATCTTTTGAGAAATGCATATAATCCTATTCGTTTCAAAGTTACCAGGCGTACATGATACAAGAAACATCGATCATAATACTACATCATTTCTTAAGAAACTGATTCCTGCCGATATCAAATTTTCTGATGAAATCGAAAATTAGATTCACGTATAAACTTTATTCACGCGAGAAATCAGGAAGACAAAACGTCGCGCTTTTTCGAACTTCATTCCCAAGGATTTCTTAGATGCCATCAACGTGACGTTCACGCCCGGGTTACTCTTGTCAGATCTGATTCAGATTCTTGGATGTGCCCTTTCCGCGAATCGATTCATCTCGACCGACGTTGAGAGAGCCGTATTAACTCCGTTTTCGAAAGATCTACCGCAAACCGCCGAATCCTATAAATTATATCCAGCGTGTAAACTAGCTCCGTCGTGAATCATCCTCGAATCTCACCGGAATTCGGCCAAGCGTGAGAGTATGATTAATTCGAGAACGTTACTTATTCTCCGTCGTAAGGACAAAGAGGTAAAGAGGTTAACGGTTTCTTGTGCTGTGTGTCAACAATTTCCACTGATGTAGCGAAATCACCCAGCTTATATACTAGAGTACAATAAATAAGAGTCACAATACATAAAAGTATATAAATAAAACGCGCGGTGACGGTAGATAGGTTCTATTGCAATGTTTCTCTCTATTATTTATATTCCGGGACCACATTATTTTTGGTCCGTTTGTCTTATCCACGAGACGCCGTCGGCGCCTCGAGCAGCTTCAACATAATCAACTGGTTGTTTACGATGACAAGATTTTTTCGGGGCGCAATTAAGAAATTACCGAACCGTATATCGTATCGTTTTATGTCCGACGGATCTGGACAATGTATTTGCATATTTATTCGTCGGATAGGCATCCCATCATCGGTCGATGCGACGGCTAGTTGAGTCTCTGTTGTTAACAGATTTCTTTCTCTTTCAGTTTAGTTTGTATTTTTTAATTTGTATTTTATTTTTATAGAAGTCACCTGTGTTTCTCTTCTTTTCTTAATTATTTTATAAGTATTTTAATTAATTGTGATCATTGTGTGAAATAAATAAATATATAGTATAGGATATTATATAGTTATTAGTATATATAATTTTAAAAAATATCATGCTGCTTTTAATGTGCAATAAGTTTCATTTAAAATAATAAATCAATAATAATTATTTTTACATTTTTTATCATTCTTGTGTTTTATACATATATCAATAATAACTATTTTTATATTTTTTTATCATTTTTATTATATACATATATATAAAGAAAATATTCTATATAATTTTCTATAAAATGCATGGGGAAATCTTATCACTTTAAAATTGGTACAATTAAAATTCATGTAATTATAAAAATTAATATATTCTTATTCCTCTTATCAATCTTTACGTACATACTATAATGTTATATAATGTACGTATATAATTTTATTTATTAAATGCTCACACAGAAAAATAACTTTTCAACTAATAATTCAAAAGGTGTATTGAAAAAAGAAATAAATATTTTTATTCAACAATATACAATGACTCTTGATTCCCTGGAAAAATTTACTATTCCATCGCGTAATCTAGAAACACGTGCAGTAATACACCAAGCGTGCATATTATTTTGCGCTTATCCACCCGCTCTTAATGACTTTTATTAATGAAATCGTATACGGAGTATACGTCGACATCCGCAGGTGCCCGTATTTTCGGTCGCACGATGCGGATTCGTGCACTTCATCGTCGTACTCCACCCCGAGATGGGGGGCAGTATATCACGTGTGATTAAATTTCGTTTTCATTTATAACAAACGCCACCCTTCCGACGCCATTGTGGAGTGTGTGAGCTTTCTCTCTATCTCTCTCTCTCTTCCTGTCTCTCTCTTTTCTCCCCTTTCCTCTCTCTTTCCCCGGTTGACAGTTTGGGACTCGCCCAGATCGACGCTATGCCACCCTAAATCGTGCGTTGAGATATATATGTTGTGTTATAACAACTATTGTGTCCCCTACGGAGAGCTTGAGACCGTGTTTCAAAATCGCATGGATATTTATACATTCGTTATATAAATATTGATTGTTATCGGATTTCGCGATTTTAAATTTGAGAGATTTTCTTTTCTCTCGTATTAGATATTATTTTGATATTATTTTCATATTAGTGACATTTTCCTTTCTTTTCATGTTATCAATATTATTAATATTATCAACGCTACATTTTATTGTAACCGATAATCGTTTTAGCATTTAATATTTTCTCAGGCATGCGATTTTCCGTCAAATGCTTAGTTATAAACGGCGTCTGTTAACACGAAGAACGGAATAAACTTGTATAAAACGTTTAAAAAATGACCGAAAGCGCCAACATGAGCGTCGCGATGAATAAAAATTCATTTCTGCTCGTGGCGACCCTCATGTGACCCTCGTCGAAATAAATTGGCGTTTTCGAGAAACAATCCTCGATCCACGCACGACTTCACGCATTGTTTTCGCACGTTGCTCGTTGAACGAACGCGTACACGCATCACGCCTCTTTATTACGCTTATTTCTTTCCCTGCTCCTCTCACGTTTCTTTCACGTCGTCCATCGAAAAACGCAAATACGATCTGACAGCGCTACTTGGTCCCCTCGCAAGTGGCACGGTAAATATTTTCCTCGATGTGTATTCCATTCCAAACATATTCTACCATTGTTTTCCGCAGGCAGAAGCGAATTTCAATGACGTATAATTCTACTCGTCGTTATTTCGAGAATCTATTTCAAGTATTAAAATTACAGAATAAATTATGCAACAATATACGTAAAGAAAATTATTTTTAAAAAGCGAACATATTTTTATGCTGAATTCTTTCAACATTTACTTCAATTATATATTTAAAATATCAATTATATCAATATCAATTATATTTTTAATAATTTTATAAAAACATGTTTGATAATTATGTATCAATGCAAAATTGTATATCGATAAAAAAATATTTATTACATACATGCTTGCGATTAATGTAATTCAGAATTAGTATTTTTTACGGTTTTGTAATTTTACCTTTAAATTATTTAATTAACGTAAATTTGCTTTCTGCAATTATCTAATAATAATAATAATAATAATAATGATAACAATCAGTTAATTTAATCTAGATATATTTTTCTTTTGTAACATGTAGAAATAATTTATTTTTAATAGTAACAGCGTACCACGATTATCATAATGTGATAATACCGTGCTTTAGCACCATAAGGATTCCAAGCACAAAATAGCCAAGTACGGGACTAGGTGACGTTGCACTTAACGATGATCGATGAAGCGCAGCATCCATTAGCATAGAAATGATTTCGAATCGCGGTATCGAAACGCTAGTGTACCGTAACTGTTGTGCCGGAATACGGGCAAATTGAGACGAACTAAAAATTAAATCGCCGCGCTCTCCGCGACAATAAAGGGCACAAAAATGTGAACAACCGATCGCAATCTGTTCGCCATTCGCTTAATACGAAGAAACAAAATGAACGCTGCTTCCGATTGTTTTCGTCGTCGCGAGAGAAGATCCGTCCTATTAATCCGCAGATGCGATCCGGTGAGACGACCCGGTCAGTCATTAGGCATAAATCGATATGCATTTTAAAGCAGCTTACTCGCCCCTTTTCCGCAACGGCGGGGAGGGGGAGGAGGGAGGAAAGAGCGAAAAAAAGAAGCGAAGAATAGTCTGTTGCGGGCTCAGAACCGATCTTGGTGTGCGTGGAACGAGCGGCGATTGGTCAGATCGACAATGGATCCCTTAAGCTCGCACGCCATTGGTCAGGATTTTCGGAGGGTTATAGACGCGGAGAATAGAGGGATGATATAGGGATGAGTCGTCACGAAGGGTGTCGTGGAATAAGCGTTAAGTAGGGGGCGAAATCCTGTGTCGGGGGAAGAGCTAGAATGCGCGACGACGACACAGGCGAGTAAATGGCTATTCGCTCAAGCTGCGACGAAACTTGCGTATGACAAAGTTACGCGAACCGGTTCCATTGATCCTTTAATTGTCGCCGATGATAATCGAGGATTTTTTTTTTAGAGATTGCGAGACGGGCGGCTCTATGCAAAATAAAAATTGAAATCACTGATGATCTTACATTCGTCGAGCTTCCTTCGAGAAATAAATCTTATTTAATATAGATTTCAATTCTTATTTTGCACTTTATTTTGTTGTTAACAAATATTTTGTTGTTAACACCGATTAATTGTGAGAATAATTTATCGAATAATTTATACGCAGATGTATACAATGAGAGGGGGAATTTGGATGACAGCGGGCACCGAGTGAATCAAAATGATGATTTATTTATTTACGTATGTTTGTAAAAAGAAGTCGAATAATATTACTATTTTGTTATACCTTGAAGCATAATATACAATCACCGGCAATCGCTACCATTTTGCCGGAAGTCACGCTGTCTCGTGAAATGGCTGTGGTAAAGTTACCGTTTCCACGACCGATCCGGAGGGCTCGCGATCGTGAGTCGCCGCCAGCCAGCGTAAAGGCAATTACTCTCGGCGGAGGCTGGCATATTTCGTACTCCTGCATCGTCGGGAATAGGGCACGTAAAATGTCCTGGCAAGAGAGAAAAGGAGAGAGAGATAGAGAGAAACGGCGATGGAAAAGTACAGAACTGGTGCTTCGTTCTCGTACCCGTTTCGTGTCGAGCGGTACGAAAGATGCGTCTCGACGACGAGACGGAGGTAGGAAAGAAAGAGAAGCGAGAACAAGAGAAAGAGAGAGAGAGAAAGAGAGAGAAAGAGAGAGAGGTGGAGTCGAGATAGGTAGAAAGGCCATGAGAAATTATGAGAAGAGAAGTACGAGGCCACACGAGGAGCGTTGCCCGAAGCGCGAGACGATATTTGCTCAACCGGAGAGCTACCGGCTGGAAATCGACGGCGATCGGCAGCATCG